TAACAAACAGTGCGTATTAACGTGTCAGAAACGTGACACTCTAATTTAGCTGTGAGCTGCTTCAGGTATTTATTCTAGCTCAAACATCAACATCTCCGACTGTTTAGAGAGATACAGCGTCTGATCCATCCTTCACAACAGGGTCCTAAGACGCTGACTAGACTCTTCTCCTCTGTCGCCCCCCGGTGGTGGAACATACTACCAAACTCCATTTGATCTGCAGAGTCCCTCTGCACCTTTAGGAAAAAGCTAAAGACCCAGCTCTTCATGAACACCTACGACCTTCATGATGATGATGATGATGATATTTAGGATGTTTTTTTTGCTGATTAGAACTCTCAATGTTTGTTCCCAGATCTCTGACCACATACACCTTGTGCACCACGGTTCGTCAGCACCACGTACTACACCGCCGTTCGCTGCCAATCTCATCAATGATTGTGTTTCCACAGCGCCACTACGCTCTGCTCCTTTTCAAATACGCTGCAGGTCGATTTTAGACGGAGTACGCTTCAGGCGCGCGTCAAGCTGGACAGAATAGATTGACCCGGACAGGAAGTCAGACAAGGAAACGCACAGAGCGTCTGGTCAATTTCAAAATAAAACACAATAAACAGACTCGCATTCCATCACTTTATGAATCGCTGACGGACCGCGGCGCCCACGGAGTATGTGGAAATTGGGGGTTAGTTTAGGCTGTAATGTGTGAGAACTTGTTGATACACAAACGCAGCTTTATGTTCCCATGATGCAACACTCACTGTCTGCAAAATGACGGGACAATCAAACTTAAAGATATCCCCTTTCTCCCTCTCTCTCTCTCTTTCTCTCTCTCTCTCTCTCTGTCTCCATCCCTCTCTCTCTCTCTCATATTTACACACATGTATAAAATTCAAAATCATACAGCTCTCCTGTAGTTGAGCTCTCTGTGTGTGTGTGTGTGTGTGTGTGCGCGCGCGTGTGTGTGCGTGTGTGTGTGTGTGTGTGTGTGTGTGTGTGTGTGTGTGTGTGTGTGTGTGTGTGTGTGTGTGTGTCTTGGGCTGTGGTAGTCAGATACATACACTGTTAAAGGAACTGTTGTTCGTTCCCCCCGGAGAACCAACAGCTTCTCTTCAGGAGGTTATGTGGGTTTTTGTCCGTTCTTTAAAAAGCAGGAGAACTCACAGTGTCTTTACTTCTTTACCTCTCTCTTATTCCCTCTCCCTCTCACTCTTATTTTAGAACAACAGTAATGCAAACATAAGCTGCACACACACACACACACACACACACACACACACACACACACACACACACTGCTCAACATGTTAGGAGTGAAAACAAAGACACACGTGAATTTAAACGACCTTCACACTGCTGTGCAGGAAACAATAACACGAGAGAACCTGCTGTGTGACACATGAAAACATTAAATCCACTTGAGGGGTAAGAAAACAAAATGCACAATCACTCTGAAGTTGCTGCGTTCACTGTCAGTGTATTGTTCCTACTCGTACAGGAGAGTTTCAGGTTGATTTATTTATCCTTTATTTACCACGGACACATGCGACGAGCAATGCTTAAAGGAGCAATATGTATCTCTGACACCTAGTGTTTAAAATGGGTACTGCAGTCAAAATTAAAAGACGAGGTCCACATCTCTGCAGCAGAAACAGGGTGCAGCTGATGCCTTCTGGATTGTCTTGAAGTGACGTTCGGATGTTTGTGTGTCGTCTCACTGCGGAACAGAATCTGACGTGTGGAGTACCATGATGCTGTAAAAGCGAAAACACTGTTTCCTCTGATTTTCTGTTTGTGTGGTTTGATGTCAGGCAGCTTTCTGTGTTTTTCACTGATGTGAAGTTGAGCGTTGCGATGTGCACACAGATGACTCTTTGAATGGAATCAGTGAACGACCTCTTTCTGGGTAAATCTGTTAAAGTAGAAACCACACGGAGAAAATGTGCAGGAATAATCTCTGGATATATTTCCAGCACTACATGACTTCATGTTGGTCAACCTGTCGCTTGTTTGTCGGCAGTATCTGATCTGAGATGTGATGCATTCTTCCTCTACCTGTGATCAACCGTCCTCGGAATTTCATGAAAACAGGGTCAACAGTTTCTCTCTCTCTCTGAAATCAGAGCTTCACCCAAACGTCTTAAACTCAAAGAGAATTTATAAATATTTCATCTTTAACGCTAAGAAATCTCCAAGAGAAACATTGAGCACAGTATTGCTGCTTATATTAGACTCTTCTCCTCTGTCGCCCCCTGGTGGTGGAATTATCTACCAAACTCCATTCGATCTGCTGAGTCCCTTTGCACCTTTAAAGAGGACATATTCTCCCCCTTCTCCACTTTTTCAAACAGTCCCCTGTGGTCTAAATGAAACATCTGTGTTGTGCTTTGGTCAAAATATAACATGAATCAAGCACCAGAGGAGGTTTGTGACCCTGTATAAACCAGCTCTCTCAGAACGCTCTGTTTTGGTGTGTGTGTCTCTTTAAATGCAATGAGCCCCCCCTGAGTTTTCCATATAGACATCACTCCTTTGCGAGCGAGAATAAAAATGACGGACCTGCTCAAAAGTTTTGCTCTAGACTGGGGGTGGAGTCCATGGGTGGAGATACCAGAGGAGGGGAGGGCATTTTTTAACCAGAATCCCACTGTGACATCACAAGGAGAGCACATTATAAACGGAGCATTTTTCTCTGTGTTGTAAAACTTATGCAGACCACAAAAAAAAGGACTGGATGGTTTTATTTCACATTTTGCGAGTCTGTATAGACACTCAGGTTACCCAAATATATGTTCAACACTGTAGAAGTGGATTTTTCATAATATGGCCCCTTTAAGAAAAAGTTAAAGACCCACCTCTTTATGAATGACCTTAATGATGAGGAAGACCTGTGCTCACTACCTGATGTTGTTACTCTCTGATGTTTGTCCCTTTGGATAAAAGCGTCTGATTAATTAATTGTAGAATTGTTGAACTGTTTCCTCTGCAACGTACTTAAACAGATTCTCAGATTTCAATCAGCCTAAATGATCTTATACTAAATGTGCTTTAGCTCCCTGCAGTAATTCACAGTCACAACATGCAGCGTCTGTTTGGCGTCCTAACTGCGTTACAGGAGAAACAGAAACTTTTTTATGAGCGCTGTCTGGAGATGTTGAGAAAGTGTTGGCGGTGAGGTCTCAGCTCAGTGCGGTTTAAAAGATTAATGAGTTTCCGAATGAAATCAGACCTGACGTGATCAAAACTGTCACACTGTGACACCTTTCCTTTTTTTTTTCACAGCAAGCTTCAGCTGTCAAAACACATTTTGTCACATCGACATCACATCTGATCCCCTAACGACACGAGGACGAGTGCAAAGAGAAACCATGGTGTTTGTGTTGGTGTGTGGGTGAAAGTGTGAGAGTGTTGTTCTTTTGACAAGAAAAGATTCTTTTTCTTCATGAAGAACTTGTGGAGACTCTCCTGTTGCAGCTGGCAGGTTTGTCTTGTGTTGATCAGCTCTGACTAATTATGAGAGGAAGCGCGTCTCCATTCAAAACAACAATAACTGATTGTGATCTTGAGTTTTTCTGAAGGAGGAGCTTCCTGTAGTACTGATGATTGAAGAAAGTATGTTTGTCACTCTAAAATGAGGGGCGGCAGTAACTCAGTCTGTAGGGGATTGGGAATCGGAGGGTCGCTGGTTCAAGTCCCGGCACGGACCAAAATCCGGAAATTGGTCTGGTAGCTGTGTGGAGAGGTGCCAGTCCACTTCCTGAGCACTGCCGACAGGCCCTTGAGCAAGGCACCTAACCCCAAAACTGCTCTGGAGCGCTCGCTGTGGGCAGCCCCCTCCCTTCATTAATGCATGTCCATAGGATCCTGTTTGTGCATGTGTGTGTATTTCAGCCTATGTTTGTGTAGCATGTTCATTAAACAGAGTGTAGGAAATGAATTTCCCCTCGCGGGATTAATAAAGTATAAATTATTATAAAATAAAGCATTGGTTCCCAACCTGGGATCTGGGACCCCTGTGGGGGGGGGGCAAAGAAGCAACATGAGCCTCAAGCATATTCTGGAATTCTTTCTCTTTTCTCTAACTCTTTGACAGCAATGGATCGCTTTGTTCTGTGTGGGTCCAGCGAGGTCTCAGCTCAGTATTGACTGATGTTGACTGAGAAAGCGGCTGCACGGCGGTTAGCGCTGTGGCTAGCGGTGGTTTTGAATCCCCGTCTGACAGGAACCTCTGTGTGGAGTTTGCATGTTCTCCTCGTGCATGTGTGGGTTCTCTCCGGGTACTCTGGCTTCCTCCCACAGTCCAAAGACATGCTCGTTAGGTTAACTGGAGACTCTTAAATTGTCCGTGTGAATGTGAGTGTGGCTGGTTGTCTGTCTTTATATGTCAGCCCTGTGATTGGCTCTTGCCCAATCACAGCTGGGATCATCTCCAGCACCTTGCGACCCTGAACCGTATGGATAATGGATGGAATATAAACTAACTCAGCATCATCAATACCAACCCTAATGCAGCGTGCAACAGTGTTTTCCCGTCCTTTTTCTGAAATATCTGCAGATATTTCCTGGATCACAGCTTCCAGGATCGCAGACGTTTTTGCCATTTTCAGCATGTATCACGACCTCCACTGTCTTCACAGGTGAAGGTGTTCGTGGCGGCGCCTTCACTTGGCACAACAAATATCCTGGTCAGTCATGTCAGCTGTTACAATAGCCTCCTGGTTGTCATTTATCTCCTCAGCCTAAAGCTCATTGAAAACACAAAACGTGGTCAAAGCGTTATTGTTTGCATCAATTAATTGACAACGTGTTAATGTGATGTTTTTGTAAACTGAAACAAAATGGATTCACGCTGAGCTGACTGCACTGATAATTTGACTTTGGAGTTTGCTGGAAGCTCCAGATGTTAAGATGCGTAACATCAGAACAATGTGTGTATGTGTGTGTCCATGTGTGTGCGTGCAATAACAAGCTAATCATTTTTCTGTTTTCTTGTTTTTCAGGGGAAGAGTTTTACGAGACGTCTCCATACGAGCCGATCCACTTCTCCGAGGAGTTCAGACACGCCTCCATCATCTCAGGTACGGCTGCTATGGGTGTGTGTGTGTGTGTGTGTGTGTGTGTGGAGCCAATCGAACACACCGACACACACTTATCAAGGTTGCAGCAGCATTAAGTGTCTGTAGAGTATAAATGTGTATGTGTTGCCCCCATAGACTCAAATGAACGCAGCAGCTCGCTCCATCTGCTAATGTGTGAATGAAGGCATATCTGTGTAATTACATATCTTGTGTGTGTGTGTTTGTGTGTGTGTGTGTGTGTGTGTGTGTGTGTGTGTGTGTGTGTGTGTGTGTATGTGACTCCAGCTAAAGCGTCTCTTTCTTGAAAACCTGTTTTCCTTTCCTACCAAACTTCTCCGTACACCGGCATGTTTCTCATTACTTAAAGGGCAGAGAGAAAACCTCTGCTGGTTTTTCATTATGTTTGAATTGTTCAGCTGCGTGTTATCGATTAACATCACATCATCATACACACTTTAAGTCACTCTTTCAGAACTACACTGAAAGGTCACTTTACACTCAGACATTTTTTATAGGAAGCTAAGTTCCTCCAGTGTCCACTAGAGTCTGTCTCCTGCAGTGAGTCAGTCTCCATAGAGCTCCATGTTAAAATAAACATGTTTACAGCTGCAGTTCCTCCAGTGTCCACTAGAGTCTGTCTCCTGTAGTGAGTCAGTCTCCATAGAGCTCCATGTTAAAATAAACATGTTTACATCCTGGTATAAAAACAGTTTGGGTCTCTAGAGCTCATTTCTCTCTTCAACTGTACGGGCTGAATGTTTATACAACTCACCTGGTTCCATTATATTAAGGCTTAAAGGGATGTAGGATTAGGGGGCGTGGCCTCTTTGAGTGACAGGTGGGAGCTGCTAGCTGTCTGCTAGGTGTTACCTCAGCTAATTCAGTCCCTGACCTTTGACCTCTGGGCCGTGTTTGTGCTGTTGGAGCCTTTTTGGAGATTTGTTCATGTAAATATCAGACTAATAATCTGTCTGTCTGTGAGCTTTATTGGAGTAACAGACCGTCCAACAAGTCTGAGCTCTACTTATTACAACCAGCCACATTAGAACTTTATTTTATGTACATCTAAGCAACAATTATCTGCTAGCTGAGTCCGTGAGGATTGTAGCTGTTCTGTGGCTGGTTCTCCGTTTGTCTTACACTGATTTATTCTTGGACGCCTTGTAGCTCTCAGTTAACATTTTAAATATTCAAAAAATACTCTGTTTCTAATATTCATGCACATATGACACAGATAGGAAGATGTTCTTTTGAAATAAACATATCTTGGTTCCCTCGCTCCCCTCCCTCCCCATCACTCCATCAGCTGGCTTCTGATTGGTCACGCTACATTAGAGATGCTGCACAACACACTCTGTCCTCCTCAATGTGTGCATCCACTTTACACACACAAACACACACACACACACACACACACACACGCTTCTGAGGAGTGTTTAAATGTCAGGAGCCCCGAGCAATACATCGTCATTTACACTCTCACCGTGTGTGTGTGTGTGTGTGTGTGTGTGTGTGTGTGTGTGTGTGTGTGTGTGTGTGTGGTCAAACAGCTGTGAAATAGACTCGCAGCTCTGTAAATTGAGTTCTGCTCTCTCAGATTAACACAACACAAGTACAAACATGAGCAAAGCAGGAGAGCTGCAACCGATGCAACTTCAAAAGCACTTTCTTCCCCTCTCTCTCTCTCTCTCTCTCTCTCTCTCTCCCCGTATCTTTTCCTCTTTCACACATGCCGAGAGTGCAGCGGTGCAGTTGGTGTGTAACATTTCATATTTTCCCATATCCGACCTCTAACACTGGAGAAAACATGACATCATTCTGCACACGCCTGCTCATACATGTGCAGGATTCATGCGAGAACAGAAAGCTGTGTTTGTGTGTTTGTGTGTGTCCCTGTCCTTCAAATCACCTGTCGAATGGAATCTGAAAGCATGATGTGAAGATTCACAGCCGGAGAGCCTCGAATGCTCGGAGCAGATAAAGAGGAGACAAGAGAGAGGGAGCGAGGAGGGAGCGAGAGATAAGAGGATAATGCAGGAGTGTGTTAAATAGCAGTGGCAGAAGAAAGAGTACTGGAACATTAAAGTATGTTTCAGACAAGAGTGGTGCGAATTGATTGGAGGGGAAGGCTCGGCGTGACAGGGTGTTTGTGAATATGGAGTTCTCTCCGTGTGTGTGTGTGTGTGTGTGTGTGTGTGTGTGTGTTTATCACATAAGGAGTTCCGAAGCAGTCTGCAGACTTGAGAGTAAAGGCAGAGTGAATTTTTCAACTTTTCAGGGAGGTTACAACAAGTGTAAGCAGGTAGGAGTGGGAATAATTACAGGATTTCATTTTTTTATTCTTAAAGGATCAATCAGTGAGATATGTAGTGAGTGAAATGATAAAGTGAGCTTACTATATGATCAGACAGGAAACATGCTATGTTGAAGTGCTGGCTTCTCTGACAACAATGCAGCAGCCAGTATGTCCTCCTTCTAACTTTAGATTCTGCTCCTGAATGATCTGGATTTGTTTGGACCAGAGAAGGTAGGCGGTTTTAAGACACAGCCCAAATTTGAGGTTCGGTCGGGGAGAACAATACTGATCATCAGTTTGGTACAGCAGAGTGTAAGGTGTGGACTCCTCAGTGTTTCTGTTCACAGCTACTGTTGACATATTGAAGTGGATTTGTGAAACGTTCACGCTCAGCCTTTCTCACCAATAAACGGCGTGAATCCTTCATTTCTAACAAACATGTCGAGTGCATTCCCTTCCTCCTGACACATTTGCAAAAGCAACTTTAAAAGAACTGTATGCATGCATTGCTTACATCCTTTCTCCCGGCCTGCTTTCTTCTTCTTCTCTTTAATTCTTTGCACCTTGCTGCAATCTCGTTGCCACCTGTGGATGAGCTGAATAAAATAAAAAACATGTTATTTCAGACTCCGCTGGTGCCGAAAGAGAACGTTTCATGAGTCTGTTTCCCGCCGTAAATAACGTCTGTGAGTCACCGAGAACAAAAGAATAACAGCTGTGTCAGAGAATATCTCAGATAGGAAAAGAGTCACAGCAAGCATGTGGACGTAAAAAAGTCAAATGTGGCTTAAAATGTCTCTCCTCTAACACTGATTTGGTTCTCCCTTGTGATGTCAGAAGGAAGAGAAAACGGTGAAAAACAGGGTTTGTATTCAGCGACACCTCATGAGAACATGATTAGCATCTTGTTTGTGTCCTTCATCTCAATCAGTCTCACTCACTCGTCATCTGAGGACCGGACTCGACTCCTCTCTGCTCTGATGAAAACACTCTTCTCCCTCATTTTCTCCTCTCAGTCTTCATCATTTTAAAGGTCTTTGATTTCCGCCTCATTAGACACCTCCGTTTGTTTTCAGCCTCGGAGAGCAGAGATGATTTCAGTCGTCTGAAAGTTAGTCTGATGATGTTTGAAGACGTCACAGGACGACAGCCAGTTTGATTATCCTGACGTCACTCAGCTCCGACGCGAGCGGATGAGTAAAGTGTTTGTGGTTAGAGAGAAGACGGAGAGAGGTAGGAGACGAGGAAACAGAGGAGAGGGGAGGGGAGGAAGAAGAGCAGGACACAATGAAAGGAGATGAGTGTGACAAGGGGGTAAAGGAGGCAAGGTAGGAAAGATGGAGATGAGAGGAAGGAGGAGGCAGAAAGAGTTAGGACAAGGAGAGAGGGAAGATGAGAAGAGAAAAAATAAGGACAGAAGGAAAGGAGAATTGGAGGAAGTGAGGAAGAGAGGACTCAAAAAGGAAAGGAGAAAGGAGGAAACGATGACGATGAAGAGTAAAAACCTGAATTTTGAAAAGGAAGGGAGACAGTAGGACAAGGGAAGAAAGGAATGGACAGACAAAGGGAGGAAAGAAGGAGGGGGGACAAGAGAGAGGATAGAAAGGGGAGGATGGAAGTAGAGAAAAGATGGTGGAGGAAAAAGGGAGAAGAGAGGAAACAAGGAGAGGAGAGGGGAGGGGACAAAGATTTGAGTAGGGAGTATAAAACAAGGACGGTTAGGAGATAACAGAGGAAAGGTAGGGAGGAAATGAGGATGACGAGGAAACAAGGACAAGATAAAAGAATTAGAGGAGAGAGGAGGAGACAAGTGGTCAGAAAGGAGGAGAAAGTGATCATACAGCAGAGATGAGGAGGAAAGAAAGCTGTCACAAGGAGAGAATGGAAGGGGGGGAGGAAATGAGAGGTAAGGAAACAAGGAGATGAGAGAGGAAATAAGAGATGAGAAGAGGAAGGAAAGGCTGAACAGGGACGAAGAGTTTAGGAGAGACAAAAAGGGAAATTAGAGGAAACAAGGAAAGCAGGAGACATTAAAGGAAAGAGGAAGAGGGAGGAGAGGACAGAAGGAAAGGAGACAAGTATGTGAGAGGGGGAAATGGAGAGGAAGAGGAGATGCTGGGAGAAGAGAGGACAAAAAGAGTTACAGAAACAAGACATTAGATAGGATAAAAAGGAAGTGAAGAGGGAGATCAGGTTTTATAACAAGAAACTTCACAGACATGTTTTTTGGAGCTCGCTGAAAAAAGGAAAATACGTGACCTTTGACCGTTAAAAGCTCCAGAACGTGTTTTTTTCATTTGGTACATTCACCTAAATTGTAACACCTCCGTAACATCTCAAATCTCCGACCTTCACCCTCTCTGCCACGCGCTCACCCGCGCCTTCATCTCCTCCGGGCCGGACTACCGCAACGCACTCGTCATCGGGAGCCTCCAAAAGATCCGATACCTGCACGAGAGCGCCGCTAGGATCCTGATGAGGGCGCCGTTTTGTGTTTTGCACGACTCTCTGAGCAGCCACTCTGTTGATCCTTCAGATGTAAACATGCAGAGAAATGAGAATAAAGTTGACTTGAAACAGGATGTACGGGGCGATGCTTCAGCATGCAGATGTTTGACTTCCTGTCTCTGCAGCCGTCTCTCTGATGTCTCCTTTTCTCACCTTTTACTTTGACGAGTGCTGAACCGAAGCACCTGCACTCTTC